GCACTGGCATAGTAAAAATAGTTTTACTATTTTTAGAAATGACAAGATAAAAGAGCTGAACAGAAGATTTAAAAAAGCAGCTTGAGAAAAGATGGCAGAATAGGCAGACAAGCTACACAGACCCTCTTAAAAAAAAAAAAAAAAAAAAGAGAGAGAAATCAATTGACACAGATATTGAAGATAATCCTGGAGCCCTGAACTTTGAAAGGAAGGATACAGAAGTGGATTAAACATCAACTAGTAGAAGAACCTGAATGAAACAATGAATAAGGAGAAAAACAGAGCTGCAGACTGTCAGCTATCCTGATGGCATGGACAGCCTGAATATTTCCAAGTGATGTTGGGACTTGAGAATTAACCTCAAATTAAGCTCTGCTCACCAAGGGCTGCATGGACAACTGTGCTGGTGGATGATGACTAAAAAAGGAAACAGAAAAGAAGGAGACAAACTGAGCTGTGGACTTTTGGCTGTCTGGAGGACACAGCCAGTTTGAATATTTATAAGCAGTGGCCATTTTGGATATTTATAGTGATAGCATTCTTATTCAGATTCCAGGGACCAAAGAATAGGCTTTGCTTGCCAAGGACAGCATGGACATATGGGAGGCTGAAGAATAGAAAAGAGACAGGTAGTGAGTGCGTAAGTGCTGCCAACTAGCAAACTGAGGAACACAGTACCCTGCTTACTCAGAAAACATCCAAAGAAAACAAAAATCTTGGGCAAATCCTCTGACATACAATCACCAATTAAATATAGACACAAAAATGTCACAATGTCTCAGAGACAACAGATAATCATAGTCCACACAAAAAAGCAAGATAAAGCAGTAGAAACAAGGGACCAGGATACCGACCCAAAATACATCCCTGAGGAAGAAGCAGCTTTGGAACTCCTTGATAAGGATTTCAAAAGAATTATATTTAGGTACCTTCAACAGATTGAGAGACAGATCAAAGAAAATGCTGGCAAAATTCAGAAAAACACAGAGAAAATCCTAGAACAATTTCTGAAGACAATAAAAGAACAAATGACGCAATAAATGAAAAATTAGAAATGATACAAAATCTACACATAAAAATCCAGAAAATTAACACTAAATTTTCATAAATAGATAACACATTAAATGGGCAAAGGAGTTGAACTGAATCAATGAAAGACAAAATTAGTGAGATTGAAGAAAAATATCTCAATACTTCTTTGGAAAGGGATCAATCAGAATAAAGATCAAAACAAAATGAAGAAAGCTTAAAGTTCATGTGTGATACCATCAAAAGGAATAACTTACACGTAGTCAGAAGAACAGGAAGAGATGAATAAAACAAGAGAAAAAAATTGTTGAAGATCTGTTGGAAGAGAATTTCCCAGGTATGATGAAAGATGAGAATATATCCATTCAAGAAGTCCAACATACCCTAAACAGGATAGACCCCAAAAGAAAATCACCAAGACATCATTATCAAACTTACCAAAACCAAAGACAATGAAAGAATCCTGAAGGCAGCGTGGAAAAAATGAAAAGTTACCAACAAAGGGCAACCAATAAGACTAAGCTCTGATTTCTTGGCAGAAGCCCTGCAGGTAAGAAGGCAATGGAATGGTATATATAAAACCCTGACAGAGAAAAATTTCCAACCAAAAATTACATACCAAACAAAATTGTCCTTCAAATATGATGTTGAAATTAGGACATTTCCAGATAAGCAGAAATTAAGGGAATTTGTTAAAACCAGACCAACCTTACAAGAGATGCTAAAGGGAGTCCTTTGGACAGAGAACCTACAACAGCAAACAACAACTGACCATTAACACACATGATGACATAACCCAGAAACCATCCCAGGTATGGAAGTATCCAAAGTAAATAAGCTTACAAGATTGTAAACAGGGAACCAGACACATCAATTGGCAAATGAGGACAATTACAAACAAAAATGCGGCAAAAAATTTTGTAGTTATAGAACTTCTAAATGGTGAAGAAGTCAAGACAATTACAAGATGGAAAGACAGTTCTAAACTTAAGAAGAAAATTATAAATCACAGGGTAACCTTAAAGAAAAATGATAAACCGTCACATCAAAATAAAAAAGAGGACAAGCACAAATATTTAGCAAATACTAACACATAACAATGAAGGAAGTGATAAGACAATTCATAAACAAAATAAACTCAGCACAGAAAATTATATGGAACAAAGAAATCAGCAACACCACGAAAAAACACATAACAAAATGACAGCAATAAATTCATACTTGTCGATAATTACACTGCATGTAAATGGATTAACTGCACCACTCAAGAGAGGGAGAGTTGCAGAGTAGATAAGAAAACAACCCGTCAATATGCTTTCTACAAGAGACACACCTTGGAAAGAAAGAAAAAAATAGTCTACAAATCAAAGGTTGGAAAAAGATCTATCACGCAAATGAGAGCCATAAAAGAGCAGGAGTGGTAATACTAATTTCTGATAAAATTGACTTTAAGAAAAAAACCACCATAAGAAACAAGGAAGGCCATTGTATAATGATTAAAGGATTGATTGAACAAGAAGACACAACCATAATAAATATCTATGGATCCAATGAAAGAGCCCCAAAATACATAAATCAGACTTTAACAGAATTGAAAAGGCAAATAGATGACTCCATAATCATAGTAGGAGACTTTTATACACCACTTTCAATAAAAGAAAGAACAATTGGAAAGAAATTCAACAAAGACACAGAAGAACTAAACAATCCACCAACTTGACCTTAGAGACATCTACAGAGCACTTCACTCAACAACATCACAATATACACTCTTTTCCAGTGCACCTGGAACATTCTCCATAAAGCAACCCTTAAGAAATTCAAAAACATTGAAATAGGGCAAAGCATCTTCTCAGGTCACAATGTTATAAAATTAGAAATCAACAATAGGAAGATGAACAGGAAAAAAAAGCAAACACATGGAAACTGAGTAACACCCTCCTTGAAAACGACTGGGGAATAGAAGAAATAAAAAATTTCCTTGAATCAAACAAGAATGAAAACACAACATACCAAAATCTTTGGGACACTGCAAAAGAAGTGATTAGAGGCCAATTTATAGCAATAAATGCACATCAAAAAAGAAGAAAGAGCCAAAATAAACACTTTAACCCAACATCGCCAGCAATTAGAAAAAGAGCAGGAAAAAGAAAAAAAAAAAGCCTACACTCACCAGAAGAAAAGAAATAATCAAGATTTGAGGAGAAATAAATGAAGCAGAAAACAGAAAGACAATAGAAAAAAATCAACAAACCTAGAAGTTGATGTGTTAAAAAGATTAACAAAATTGACAAACACTGGCAAATTTAACAAAGGAAAAGAGGGAGAGAATACAAACAACATGAATAAGAAATGAATCAGGTGACATCACAACAGAACCAACAGAAATTAAAAGGATAATATCAGGATACTATGAAGAACTATATACTCCAACCAACTTGAAAATCCAGAAGAAGTGGACAGATGTCTAGAAACATATTACTTGCCTAAACTAACACAGACTGCGGTGCAAATTTTCAACAGACCCGTAACAAAAGAAGAAATTAAACAGGCCATTAAAAAATTACCAACAAAAAAAAAGCCCTGGCCCAGATGGTTTCCCTGGAGAATTCTACCAAACATTCAGAGAAGAACTGACACCAATGTTACTCAAACTATTCCAAAATATAGAAAGGGATAGAATTCTCCCAAATTCATTTTATGAAGGTTAACCAGGCAAAGACATCACTAAAAAAGAAAACTACAGACCAATATCCCTCATGAGTATAGACTAAAAAATCTTCAACAAAATCCTAGCCAATAGACTCCTACATATCCAAAAAATAATATATTATGACCAAGTGGGGTTCATACCAGGTATGCAAGAATGTTTCGACATTAGAAAAATAGCCAATGTCCATGCTCGTGGACAGGAAGATTGAACATTGTAAAAATATC